AATTAAAATTGATTTTTTATTTACATCTTTGAATTAAAAAAATGTACTATCAATCGTGATCATGAGATTTCCACGTGGGCGATGTCCCGCATTCTCATCTTAGCCTACTTAGCTAATGCTACTTGAAGTTTATTTTTAAAACCGTCTTGTTTTCTCTTTTGGCTTGATTGATGTGAAAATTCCTCGTATATAGAAAACGATGTACGATTTCAAGCATGCAAATTGAACTTACGTCACACTTACAAAGATGGATTGTATGTAACATATTACATATAATAAAATTTGAAAGTGGATACATACATAATTTTCTTATTGTTCTTATTGTTTCTACTTTGTTCTGCTTTTTACATAATGAAAATTTGTACTACATTCTTCTACTATTTCAATTCTTTCACTATTTCAATAAATTTTCGTAACTTTATAAAACTTATATGAAGAAATAATCTTTTAAGAAGTATAAAATATTGATTTTATAATATACGCGATGTTTTACCAAATACATTACTTGTTATAAAATCTTCAAGATACAAATTTTTATAGGAAATTCTCAAGCATTTAAATAGAGTTTAACAGTAACAAAATCAAAAAATAATCAATTTCATTGCATGGGAATTTGTTAAAAATTTGATAAACAAATAAGCGCAAATTTTAATTAAACATTAATAATTATTAACAATTAATAACAATAATAACGTAATATTCGTTATCGTACGTAGGAATATTGTAGTTATTAAAATTTTCGAGCAATCTTCTTCATGATTTTTTCACGGTGGAAGATTTTAAAACAAAAATTCACGATGTCGGACTTATCGAACGAGCGAGAGAAATCCCGAAGAAGGCGGACGCGACAGTGCGATTTCGCTTGTGGTCCACGTACTCGGAGGTGTACTGCAAGGAGATATCGTCCGATGCTGGGAAGGCCGTGAAGAAGGAGCTCGATAACGGTATCCGCCGCGAATGATCCCCACCCTCTCTCGGATGCCGTAGACATACACCGTCGAACGGATCCAGAAGCAGAAGAAGACGAACGGGAAATAAGATACGTCCACATTTTTCACGGCCCCTCGTAACACGCACCTGTCGCTGACGACGTTGCATACCGCATAGTGGGAGACAAGCGATTATAATTTTTGATATTTACACGTCTATCGATCTCATCTCGTCGTTTTTGTTCGATCATCTCGTTTCTCCGACACGCAGTCACACGACTACGAATTTAATTTAACGTTGATATAATAAAATTTGATATAATAAAATTATCATGAAAGAATCATTAATTTGCTAATGGAAATTCTACGAGGCAAAAGGCTATGCTAATAATGATATGATAAATGCAATATTTATGTGAAACCGCTAAAACGGAATGAAAATTAATTTTTTGCCGCCGAGTAAGTTCGACACGCTCGTCTTTTCCCGAGACGTCGCGAAAAAATCGGGTTGCGAGTTTTAATATATCATCAGTATGGGGAAAAGTCGAAGGCGATCGGGGACATGACGTGCAACTACAAAACCCCGGATTTTCCCGTGAAGCCACGACTGGGCATAACATTACAAGCGGAACCAGATTCCGCAGTGGTATAGTTTTCCCTCGTCTGCGTGCTGCTGAACGTATAACTACTTTTACCACATATACGGTAGGAATGTCTAATTGTGCACGCGTTTCTGATTGAGACCCACTTTCCTCTTCCGGTAACAAGGGCACGCGATTTTTTTTTTTACGGAAAAATTGTGCTACGCGCTAACACCGCGCTACTAAATTTCTTAAATTAATATCCGCCTCGCTATCACGAAATCGCTTAATAAAATTCCTTAATGTAATAAATTCCTAGATTCCGTTCGCGGTGTTTTTATTCGAAAATAAACTTATAAATTCAAGATCCTGAACTACGGTTCGGTGGGCAATAAAACTCCTGGCATCTGGCGATTAGCGGGCTGTCAGCGTTTCTTCTTCGTTACTTCTGGTGACTAGACGTCCTGATTTCCGAGGACATGCCATCTTTCCTCGAGTACCTCTGATGTCCCCCGTCCCCCGCCGGATGCCGCCGCGAGTTCCAGTTTTGCATACGCAGCACACGATTAAAATAGTCACACTCGTGACTATTTTCCTCTACTTAACGTTGTATTAAAATTTCAGATACTCAGAGATGACGTTAATGTTATTACTTAACAAGCAACACCACGTAAGATCTTTTTCGCGACAAAATTTTAAATTTCTAGTTTCGTCCTCTCGTCTTAAAGATCGCGGAGATGCAATTTCCTTCGCGGGCAGGCAGATCGAGCACACGATCGAGTTATCGTCGTCGGGAAATCATCCGATCTACGGTGTCGGTACGGAGATGCCCGCTCGTTCGGTTCGCTAATCCGCGTGCAAGGGCGTCGCCCTTCGAGCGTCTCGTCTTACGTGGCGTAACAGAAGCCGATACCGGGCAGCACGCAGCAGGAAACGCAACCAAGTACGTCCAACGAGCGCCGCGTCGAGGCGTTTCACGCGCATTTTTAGTCGGTCGATGACTCCGAAGTTGTATTAAACACCGGCTACGCCATAATTGAAATTACGTAGTACTGGAGTTGGAAACGCCCGGCTGATTACGCGCGCGGTTTCCTCCGTTGCCTAGGAGTGTGTGTCGAGACCACGTTCGAGAGAATATAAGATGCGTCCGATATAAAACATAATAAAGCGAAATTGGTCCGTCCGAAATTGCAATCTCGTCGACGACTTCATTTATTTCTTATTTACAATTATTTAAGCGCGCACTCATAATCGAGAGACAAATAATTGTAGATCTGTTGAGAGTCTACGACTTTTGTAATCGAGGGTGAGGGGTTGTTGAGTGACGGCTTCTATCGCTACTCGATCGAACCGCCGCTACCGATCAGCGGCTTTGATCGTATCTTTAAATAGCGAGATAATAAGTAATAGGAGAATCGATCCCGATCGATCCCAGATCGTCCGAAGACTAACATCAGCCGCGCGGAAGAAATGAAGAAGAAATAGTAAGGGCGAAGATGTGTGATTTAACGTGGAGGGAGAGAGAGAGGGCATGATCGTTCCGGTTTACACCTCGGTCTAATTAGAAACGGCATGTTTCAAGCTTCTTCAAGGCTGTCGTGTCCTTCGCGATCATTGCACGCTCGACATATTACCACATGAGAAGAAGCCTCACGCTCGGCCAAGGGAGAAAGGCGGTATATGGCGAAAGAGTGCGCGCGCGCGCGCGCGCGCGCGCGTGTGTGTGTGTGTGTATGTGTGCATACGCGTATACGTATGCGTGTATATTATACGACACTCCGGGGAATTGTACTGAGGATGCACCGAGTGCACATTTAACCCGTCAGTGGAAAAGGTTGGATATACCAGATCCAGCTTGTTCCGCAACTCGTCCTAATTCGAACCATTGTTATTCGCATAATTTAACGTACACACGTTCAGTGTAGAGACTCGAGTCGGTTAATCGTAACAGTTTAAATCAGATTGAAAAGAAAAAAAGTAATTTGTTTCCAACATACTGTTTTTGAAGCCGTGATTTAGCCGTGAAAAAGAGTGCTGCATCGTGAAGAATAATTGAAATTTTAGAAACATGAACTCTCAGAAGTTTATATTACTTTTTTCACATAATTTTATTTTTATCATCTTTACTTCGAGGCTCGAGGATGTTTTGTAAAAATAAAAGAAAACTAAATTTTTCGCTAAACTTTTGATTTTTGACAATTGAACCGCGCGCGTTCCGTTTCGCAAATTAATTTCTTTCAAAATTTTAATTTATATATCTTTCATTAAAAAAGGATACAAAGATCTAAAGCTCGTCGTCGTATAAAGAGTCATTTAAAAAATATAAACTCGTTAACTCATTTTTTGAATGTCTTCTGCTTTCATGTTGTACGAAAAACATTCGATCTCCTCGATAGATTTCCAAACTTGGCGAATGTTTCAGACTTCGTTAAACGGTGAACAGTCGCGAATCTTGATGTACTCCAGTAATTTCAAACAGCGGCGATTTACCTGAAGTTTTATGTCCGGAAGTATCAGCATGGTTCGCGCCTCCGTTCGCCAGGGCGAACCGCGAGTATCCGAGCTCACTTTTCGATCCGTGTCCTCGCCTTCACGTGATCCTCGCGTATTCGCGCGTGTCCTCCCTAGGGCTAGGAGCGACACGCGATCGTCGTCCTCGTCGTCCTCGTCGGAATGCTCTGGAACCGCCGCCGCGGGGTTTCCGTGGAGTGCTCGCGGTCGCGTCGTTCGCACGGTCGGCCGGAAGTGCGCGGCGGCTCCTCTCGGCGAGTACCGATATTCGGTGAGCACCTCGTCTTCGCGGGACGTCTTCCCGACGATTCGGCGAGCGGTCGTTTCTCGCGAAATCGCGAGAAACGAAAATCGCGCACTGTCTACGCGATGGAAGGAGTGCGGGAGTTAGGAAAGCGGAGGAAAGCGGACGATGTTTCCTCACCGCATCGTTGGAGATTCGTTGGAGAACGCGTGTCGGAGCACGAGAAATGCCTTGGCAACCGGAAGGACGAGGTCAGGGAAGGGCTCTCGAGGCTGTCGAACAGGTGCACGTTCGATCAGCAGGTGAGTTTCGAGGTTCACGAAGCTGGGACCCGACGACACGATTGATGGCGATGGCGTACGCGACTTCCCGATCGGTGTAGACGACGATCCATCAACAGCAAGCCTAGAGCTCGGCTAGAATCGGCCGCGATCGGCGTAGCTCGGCGAAAGGGAAAAAGAAAGGGTGAGCAGAAAGAAGAGTAGGGATGGGCCCGCTCGTGAGGATGGGTCTGCTACGCGGCCTATCACGGTAAAAGAAGAAATAAAAGAGAGAGGGTAGGAGGAGGAAACACCGCGTGTTTCTCCGTGAGACTATGGGCAAATTTCTCGACGGAAATCTCAAACATCCTTCAACAACCTTGAAGGAAGTTGAGTCCGGTAATTGCTACCGTACCGTACAATAATTTGATGATGCTGCAGCATAATAATAGAGCTCAGTTTATCGAGAGTGTTCTCGGAAGATTAGATTTTCCCCATGAAAATAGACGTGAAAACAATACGATGCGATAATTTATTTTTCGTGAGAAAATTTGATAGGAAAATGCGATCTCTTTATTGCTGTCAATCTATCGCGTCGCTAATCAGAGAATAATATAAGACACAGTTACTTGTAGTATTAAGTATAGTTGTCGTGATTGCAAATGTCATGCGAACGTGAACTATCCCTGAAATTGCAACGAGGTCTTCAAGTATGGTATAATCGTATTCAAAAGTATTTAGAGATAAAATTAAATAGGCCTTCTTTCTTCTCTCGTTATAGGAACAGATAACAAATATTTCCTATTCGTTTCCCATATATTTGTTTCCCATGTATATATCACGATAATCGTTTTTATGATTTATTATCCGCGCATTATCTTTGTTTTTTCCCTCTCTTTCTTTTTATTCAAATAACATCCAGAATACTTCGAAGCTATTCTTATTTTTAGGAAAATATATTTGCGATCGCGATCTTGTGCGACTCGTTCGACCGCTGCGATGATTGAGTTGAATGCGACAGATGGTTGCAAGACCTTTTCTTCTCTGTGGTAGTCTCTCAGAAATATTTGCACTTCGACATTCCAAGCTGACTAGACGAGATTGTTACTTGTTTTTTTTTTTTTTATACACTTTGAAATAACTTGGAAAACCAGCAAAAACCGATTTGCTAAAGTAAACAAGTTGCTGACAAATTAATACGTATATAACTTTAATTGATATATTGCTGTCTCACTATATAATTTCCGTATAACATCTTTTCTCCTTCTCTTTTGCATTTCAATTTCTCATTATCGATGAAATCGTAAATCCACTTTCAAAGTTTTCTCATTTGGAGGAAAATACCAATTAGGTCATTCTTTGTATGCACGTAATCATTATGTTGGCGGACAACAGTGTCGCTAATCGAACTCTCATTCCCTTTCCGGGGTTGGGTTTCCGACGACAACGCACCTTCGCGATTCACATGAAAATTGTTTGCGAGATTTCGCTTAAACGTGTCGAGACAAAACAAGCGTAGAAGAATGCGGAATCTCCATATTGCAAATCGAAAGTCGCGAGATGGAAAGCCGACGTCGCCGCCAAGAGAACGGTGGCTGAGAGAAAGGCGCCCGTGATGATTAGTTCATCCGGATAGACGGCGATGCGTGCGGAAAAACAACGGGGATTTTTCTGACACCTGTTAATGGCGGTGGAACGCGGTCATTTCGCATATTCCGGATCAGACCGGAAAAATTTTCGCGAAAAGGAAAAAGGTGCGTGCACTTGCCGCTCGAGAGAACACGTGCGCGGTTGAGCGATACTTACGTAATCGATTGCGAAAGAATCGATCGTTTTTTCACCTCGTCGTATCTGGTAAAACACGTAAAACGCGTATTTACGCGTAAAAAACGGAGGCGTCGCCCTAAGCGAGTCGCGCGACGCGAAAATCTCCGCGGCCGGCATCGAGATCGAATTGCGAATTTACGGCGCGTTGCGTGATTACTTTTTCAGTAGCCTCTCGTCTTACGGCAGTTTAGAGCGATGCATGCAAACGAGCGCGACCACTTGATTTCGTTCTACATGAGGCGTTGATCTATAGGCGCTGATTTATTGCGAATGGTCCTGACGCTTTTCCCTGACTGCTAATGAAAATGCCTTCATATAGAAAAGCCTCAAGTTAATTTAAATGCCTTTCGATGGAATTGCTGAAGCGCTAGAACAGCAAGAAAAACACAAGATATTAATTTAATCTTACTTCATCAATGTATTTTTTCTTTTTCCTATAAATACCGTTGCCTATAATAGTTGGTATAATAGTTGGTAATGTATTGATATATCGATACTCGTTTTATTACTCAATTTAACGTTACGCAAGCGAGCCTTTCTCCGAAGAGATGCGAACGAAATCCATTCGGAGATATTCAGCAGAATCGAATATTTCATATCTCATAAAAATACCATTTTCATCAAACTATAATCACATACAGAAAAAAAATTAGTTTTAAAGCAAAACTGTACATTCTCATATATAAGCAAGAATATTATAATCTTAGAAAAATTTTACTCCCTATTTAATTTGTATTGATGAAAGTATAAGATATTCTCATGTATAAGCAAGAATATTAACAATCTTCATACGGGAGATTTTTAATTTTGAATTGAGTAAAAATAAAATTCTTGCAATACAAATTCAATCAAATCGAGACGAAAATTTTTAGGAAAATTCTAATATTCTCTCCTCGACGTGAGAATATTATCCGTCTTGAT